CAAAATGGTGGTCTTCGTAAGGTACCGATTTCTCGGACTGTCGAGTAGGTAGAGAGCTACCGTTTTTTTTAATTAAAAGAAGAGATCTGTATCTAGACATTTATATTCCGTTTTTTTTCAAAATTCGATTTTGTTCAGATTTCCGAGACAATTTTCTGAAATAACTCGGAACTTAACACTTTTTGATATCAGTGTTATCCAGTTATCTCGACAAGAGAATCGAATTTCCAAAAAAACGCTATATACATTTCTAGACATAGGCCAATTCTTTTATTTAAAAAAACGGTGGCTCGCTAGCTCTTCTGCAGTCTGAGAAATCTGTTCCGAACTCTCCAAAAAAGTGACTTTGAGAAAACTAATCAACAAGTTTGTGGGATGTGTAAACCGATGTGAATGTGACAAAAGTAATCAGTGTTATACATATTTGAAATCAGTGTAAAATTCTCTTTTTAAGTGACATAATTGAATAAAAATCTGTTTACAATTTTTAATTTGACTATGGTTGTCATGACCTCTATACTGCAATCTCGTCATTTATAAAGTATCCTTCTAAAAACTCGCCATATTGCTCTAATTAATTAAAATGACAGAAATTATATGTATTTATCATTATCAACTGTTTACAAAGTTGTTGACCACAGTCACATCCTCGTAACTAAGGAATATTGCTGAAAAACTCTTATATTTCTATACTACTGCTTCTAGAAAACCGCCATTTGTACCCCTAAAGACCATTCAAAGTACAACAAATCGTACAGAATCTGAAAGAGGACACTTTCGGCTTTCAGAATATGTGCTTATCTCAAAATGGGGGGGGGGGGGGGGGGGGGGGGGGGGAGAACGCTCCTTAAAGTTTGAGGACCGAGAGAAGATCGACGTTCGGTTACAGCTAACCCGGCAACGAAAAATGATCTCCCGACCACGGCCGGGATTACTGATATCGAAAACAATGTCTGAAGAATAGTTGATAAGAAAGATTTTAACAGCAATCAACAATAAAAAAACTACAGATAAATGAGAACATAAAGAGTGAATAGATAAAAAAAAAAAAAGATGAACTACGCGATTTGAGCTGATCATTAGTCATCATTTCGATCAATCAGAATAAAGACAGAACATTATTCCATAGTTCCACTGATTACTAGCACCACCTTGAATTTGTTAAAAAAAATTATATCGAAAAGAAGATTATATATATAAAGAATATAGACAGGCCAGGCCTAAAAAACGTGGCCTGTGCCTGTCACAGGCAGGCAGGCAGACAGGCCTAGTGGCCTGGTTGGACCTCTGCTACCGAGATACTCTATGTTTAAGAAAAAAAGCCGTGGTTCCCCTCAGGAACACTAGGAAAACTGAGTTTCGAACTTCGACTTAAAACTTTGCATAGAGATAGGTCACAATGAGAATAGTTTATTGTGAAAGTTTCAAATCTTTTCGTTGTTCCTATCCCAAGATACAGCTATGATAAAATCGCTGATATACATCAGCAGATTCCAATATTCTTATTTCAGACTAGGAGCAATCAAAAGATCTGAAACGTTCACAATAAATTATTCTCATTGAGACCTATCTCAATGCAAAGTTTCAAGTTGAAATTCGAAACTCAGTTTTTCTAGTGTTCCTGAGGGGGGACCACGGCTTTTTTTCTTTAACATACAGTATCTCGGTAGTAATAAGCTAGCAGCATGAACTTTTTTCAGAGTATTCATAGATCATTAGAGCCTACATGATGCGCATACACTTGACTCAAAAGCAATGTGACAGTTGGAAATGTTTCCTCATTAGTTTTTTTGGAAGGAGTCAACGGCATTTATAGCTTATTAGAACTTATATGATGTACATAGTTCAGATTGAACAGCAATTTGAAATTTAAAAACTCTCGTTCGTGAATAGAACTTGTCATTTTAATCTTGATAGATCTTCTTATAAGATATTTTCATCCATATATTCATAGATTTAAATAATAAATATTGTTTTTTGTTTTTTTTTTTTTGAATAATAAATCACTCTGAAAAGCATATTCAAAAAACAAAAAGCCAAATCAAGCAAAAATCCCCCTTCAATTCGCACATATAAAACATGGACAAAAAAAAGAGAAGTTATCATCTGACTATACAAATGAATATTTAATATATTTAGTTTATGTATATAAACTTGTTGATTTTCTATTAAACCATTGTTCAGACATTGGTACACGAGCTGGTCCAACAAGAATACTATCATCTTGTTGTTGCTGTTGTTGTTGTTGTTGTTGTCCTTTATTAGTTGAATCTTGTTGTTGATTATAAAGTGAACGAAATGTAATAGCTTGTTTTAAATAAAGTCTTGCTTTAATAATTTCTTTTAATAAACGTTTTATATCATCACTTTCAAGTTCTAATAATGAATTTTCATCAAATTCTAAATCATATGTTTTATCTTGTTGTAAACGATGCATAAATAAATGTATATCACGTGTATTATTTGTTGAACAATGATAACGTCCATTATTATCATGTGCTAAATTTTTTAAAAAATTATTTGCATCAATATCATGACAACAAAATGATATTGTATTTATTGATATAGATTTTCTATTTATTGTATTTGTATGTATTGTATTCATTAAACGTACTTGTTCTAATAAATAACTTGTACTATGATCAGGTTTACCATCACTTATATAATAAATACTATCAATGGATTGTTTTGTATAATGAAAATCAAATGCATATTTTAATACACGTTCACTACATGTATTACCATTTGCTTTTAATGTACTTATCCATGCAATAGCTTCATGACAATTATCTTCTGTTGGTAAAACAAGATTATCACGCCATATTTGATAATTATCATTAAATTGTATAAAATTAAATTGTATTTGATATGAATATAATTGTTCCCATACAAGTGTAGCTAATTCTTTTTTTAAATAATCTATATTAGTTTCCATTGAACCACTTGTATCAATAAGTATAAGTATATGTTTATGTATTATAGTTGAAAATATTAAACGACTACCATTTAATAACCATTGCATACGTTTAAAATAACGACGTAATACAGATTCACATCGTTGACGATAATCATCTAATTCACGTGGACGTAATTGTAAATGACGTATACTACCTTTTATATTTATTGATGGAAATACAGAACAATATCGAGCTGATGATGTTAATTTTATATTTGGAACTGTAATTGTATCATGACGACCTAAAAAATAAAATTATTTGATATACAAATTTTTTGAAATTAAAATTAAAAAAAAAACAAAAACCAATATTTTATTCGAAGACATCAGAGGTCCAAACAGGCCACTAAGACTATTGCTCAATCTGATCCTGACCCGCCTGTCATAGGCATCACCCATGGTTTTCAGACTAGTGCAAGTGACAGGCCC